ACACTTGTGGAATCAATCCAAAAATACTGCTGACGTCACCCAAGCCTTTTTATTTAATTGCCAGGACACAGGCAGGAGATTTTTGTTCTTGTCTTTTAGGGCACGGCGATTTGCAGCCCTGTAGAGTAAGCCCAGCCACATTACCACAAAACAACACAGTCACACGGTCTTTAGCTGCTTTGAAGCCAGGGGCTTGTCTTTCTGATTTCGAAGTGTAAGTGCTGTTGGGCATTTTTTTCCAGAAGAGCCCAGTCTCATCAGCATTAAAAACTTGTTCCGGAAGATAGCTCTTTTCTTCTACGATTTTTCTTTAATTATTCAGGGTAGGCTTTTGCTGCCTCTTCACTGGCAGATGCAGCTTCACCGGTAGTCTGTACGTTTTTGCGTTGAAGCAGTTCCTAAAACTGTTAAGCCAGCCTTGGCTGGCTTTGAATTCCTTCTCATCAGAAGGCTGTCCCTCTTTGGTGGGAGGTTTGAACAGCACACAGAGGCTAAGAGCCTCTTCTCGCAACGTGTTGCCATCGATAGGCACACGTTTACAGTTCATGTCTTCCAGCCATAAGTTTAATGCCTTTTCAGTCTTCACTGAAGTCTTATCATGCATCTGGCTTGTCATCTTAGCAGTTTTTGGAGCACTTGATGCCACAGCATGACGAATTTCTCTCTCTCTAATCTTGATGCTAGATTCTTTGCGGCCATATTTACGTGCCATGTTGGAGACCGACATACCGTCTCTAACTAAGTCGAACACAGCCAGTTTTTCCTCCAGCACTGGAGCAGATCACTGTTTCTTCAGCTGAGCACCAGATGAAGTAGTTGGCTTGCATTTATGGGCCATGTTGTACGAAAAATACGTACAGTATCTTTAAACACTAGAATCACACTCAGCGTGGCGAGATGCTCACACTATGAGAGGCATGCGGGAACTGAGACTGACTGAGGGAACAGCAGATTCAAATTTCCCATCTCACGCTCACTCCAGGGCATAAGCTCATTGAGTGGAAAGGTGGGCGGAATCGCCCACACTATTTACAGGTATCTTGTTATTATTTTTTTTTTTGCAGAGCGCATATAGTTGAATTTGCTTAAGTTAAATGCACGTATGATGCGACTCACCTGTAACCAAGCACACCTTGCATCTCATACTTTTCTTTTATTGTTGTATGAATAAAAATAACTCTAGTATTCCTCTTGCAATCACCATTCACAACTATAACAAATTAGTTCTAAGAATGAATGCTTTTGGAAAACATTCTGTCATATACTGTATGAAGAGTTTACCTGTAAAAATTGCTGCTCTTCATATGATGACCATTCCCCATTGTCCTTTGTTTTTAAACAAAGTAGTACAGAATGTTAAAAGAATGTCCAATGGCATTTTTCCCCAGCTATACCCTGGCATAACGTAGCAAAATTATGAATCCATTCTGTGGCTGCATTACACACCACTACTTCCCACTCACTACTCAAAATGCTTACCAAGAGTAAATTTCAAACTTTTGTCTACATCAATGGATTTCTTACACAGAAAAATGAACACAGAATGCTTTATAATTAAGTTCTTACATAATTTGGGTAAACATACATCAGCATATCTCAATCATCCTGCTGCTATCTGCACTGCCAAACAAGGATTTATTAAGCTGAGCAACAAATCCATATTAGCCATGTTTGCAAGTAGAGCTAAAGCCAAACTTAAAACAGTTTACAGCCACATTGTGCGTTGATGCAAACTGCGCTTTACCCATTTTCTCTACAATTATCCTACGATCTGATTACAAACACAATCGATAAGTTCTCAATATTTTAAGTAAAACAACATGAACTGACTCTCTAATGACCTTAGAAAAAAAACACTATAAAATGAACGGCTTCTATAAATATTAGGTTTAGAATCATCTATCTGGCGATGTACAACAAAACTCGCAACAGAGAAGTAACTTCTTTTAAGTCTTTTATGGGAACAAAAGGAGGACAATGTGAAATTAAATATGCAACATCAAGTCTATCTAGTTTTAGGTCTACCAACCTTACCAGAATATTATTTATATATTAAAATAGATTTGACCTCCTGTATGTATTTTAAAACTGCAAGATTGAAGAGTAGTTTAGACCAGCATTTCTCAAATGCTGCCAAAGGTGGATTTTTTTGCAGCCATGACAGCCTCCAAAGCACGGGCAGAGTGGGATGGGGGCGGGGGGGGGGGAAGAGGAGGTGCTGGCAAAGCAGCAGCCCCTCCCTGCAGCACCCAGCTGTTGCTCCTGAGTAGCTGTTACCAAGGGCAGCGAGATGTACTGCTTTGGTGTTTACGCTGGCGCTGCCAGCGGGGATCGGTGCCCTGCATTGCGCAACCTCCTTGGGGGCTCTGGGCAGCACCTCTGGAAACAAGTGGGGCCAGTGTCGGAGGCAGCTCTTGTCAGTGGAGGCAGCTGTGGCTCTCGGTCACTGGGGCGCTCCCCTGGGCATCTCCCCTGCTCCCACCCAGCTGGGGCACAGGAAGCCTGGGACTCCACCGGTGGCTGGTGAGTTCCCGGCCCACCTTCCCCGGGGAGGGCTCTCGCTGAAGCGCCAGAGGAGGCAGGAACAGAGAGATGGGTTGGCACTTTCCCTGCCTGAGGCCGCACCTGCTGTTTACAGTTGCCTTAGATACCACAGCTGTTCAACAGGCCTGGCAGCTCCCCGGCAAGGTGAGGGGCTCCTGTTCCATGACACACACTGAGCACAAGAATAGAAGCAAAGTCTGGGTGTACTGAATGGGGAGCTCTATTTCCTACCACCTTCCTACTGCATAAATAAATTACAATGATTTGGACGTGTATATGTGCATACTTATTTGTTTTTCCTAAAATATTTTAGGAAATATTGTCAGAGTGGCCACCAGCAAGAGTTAGTGGCCACACTCTGAGGCCACCAAAACATTTGTTGTGAGAACCCCTGGTTTAGACAGTAAGCTGCTGCTGAGGTGGGGAAGGCAGGAGAGAAATTGTTGGGTTGTCCCTCCTCTTCCATCTCCTCACTCCCACACACTTATCTCTTCAAAACATCCTCAGAACATACCTGTGGAGTAATTATTATCCCCATTTTTCAGATGTGGAAACTAAGGCAGAGAGATTAAATGGTTTATCCAAGACCAAGAATAGAGTCAGTGTCAGAGCCAAAATTAAAACAAAAGGAGTTCCTGGCCCTGCATTCAGATCACAGTGCCTCTATAGACTATGCCATTCGAGCAGCAGCTGCAGAAGCTAAGATCTATGTTGCTCATGTACACATACCACCAACGTTTATCTGTCATAGGCCAAGATGATCTATCACAGGGTTCTCAACCTTTTTCTTTCCGAGCCCCCTCATGCTATAAGAACTCCCCAGCCCACCTGTGCCACAACAACTGTTTTTCTGCATATAAAAGCGAGGGCCAACGTTATGGGGTAGCAAGCAGGGCAATTACCTGGCCCCACACCACAGGGGCCCCCGACAAAGCTACACTGCTCAGACTTCGGCTTCAGCCCCGGATAGCAGGGCTCAAGGCACCAGGCTTCAGTCCCATGTGGTGGAGCTTCAGGTTTCTGCCATGGAACCCAGCAAGTCTAAAGCTGTCCCTGCTTGAAGGACCACCTGAAACCTGCTCATGGCCTCCCACAGGGCCTCAGACCCCTGGTTGAGAACCACTGATGATCACATTGAGGAGTTCTAATAAACCAAACATTTGTTCGTGATTTCATAAATATTTTGATTAAACCATTTTACTAGTTTTTACATAGCAGTACTGGATAAGGGAATTCTGAAGATAAGTGAAGGTCTGCATACCTACTAGTACATAGCTATTTCATGGGAGCTCTGGGAACAAATGCTCAAATATACTTAAAAAAAGAAATCTGCCATTTTAATGACAGATCTATATTTTAGGAGACCCACACAACACAAAAGCAAACACAGCAGTTCCTTCACCCTCAAATCTAAAAAACAGAGTTGTCTGAAAACTGGAATTCACATTACACAGAAAATTCTGAAATTTTGTTTTTAACAAAATTGTTCCAAAACAGAATGAAAAATTAAATTTCAAGATTTCTTGCAGAATTCATAAATTTCATTCAGAAGAAGCTGAAATGACCATTCCATTGTGACCTTTCTGAAATATTTCTGAATCTACCAAACTACCTTAAAGACTAACAGATTTATTTGGGCATAAGCTTTCGTGGGTAAAAAAACCACTTCTTCAGATGCAGTTGCATCTGAAGAAGTGGCTTTTTACCCACGAAAGCTTATGCCCAAATAAATCTGTTAGTCTTTAAGGTGCCACTGGACTCCTCATTGTTTTGGTGGACACAGACTAACACGGCTAACCTGATACTTGATACCAAACTACCTGGAGCCCACCAGGTGAGTAGCCAAGCAGCATGGGAAGTCCCAGCTCTGAGGCAAGTGGGAAGCATGAGGGCGAAGGGATGCTTTCTACTTCCAACTCAGTCAACCATTCAAATATTTTTGTTCTTAGTTCAGATACAGGCAAGGGCTGAGACAATCAGGGAAGTGGACCAGTTTGAGAACGGACTCAAGGCCCATACAGGCATGTGGGGGAAAGAGAGTGTTCAAAGGGAAGGAGGCGCGAAAGACAGTGACAGTTTTAGCTAAGCAGCAGGATGAGAAGGGCAAACACATGGTGGGTGAGAGGACAGTTTCAGCCTAGACTCCAGGAAGTGGAGGGAAGCATAGCTCAGACACACAAGCGAAGTCCCAGCTTCAGCCCCGTTTTACAGAAGGGGGTGGGGCAGTGGCAGTTCGGGTAGACTCCCAGGCCCCGGACACAGCACGTGTAACACAAGGGCAGGCTGGGGACCCCAGGCGCAGAGTGTGAGTATGCCAGGGGCGACACAGGGACAGACTCCAGGCCAGGGCCGCCTGGTCACAGGGTGTATGTGTGGGAAGCTGGTGGGACCCAGGGCATTCTCGGGGTGGGGTGCAGGCCTCTCCGGGGCGGGCCAGGCCAGGCTCTGTCACTCACAGAACTTGGAGGTGGAGGTGTTGATGGTGGCAGCAGCGACGGCTCCTCCCTTGCCAGCAGCCCCTGCAGAGTCACAGCCCTTCATCAGGCCATTGGCTTCGGGCACCATCTGGGCCTCTTCCTCCTCCTGCGGCTGCCCCCGGTGGCCCTTCCTATCCGCGGGCAGCTGCAGGGCCCTGTCCCCGAGGGGGGCCTGGGCATGGCCCGCAGGGCGCTGCTGCCTGTAGCCATCCACACCGGCCTCCCAGTTGTTATGGTTCTGATCGTCCATCATGGCCTCATAGCTGCTGCTGCTGCCCCCCTCCTCCTCCATGCTCTCCTCCTCCATCCTGCCCGGGGGAGGGGGGCCCCGCTCGGTCCGGCTGGGGGCGGCGAGGCGGGGGGAAGCTCAACACCGACCTCCCATCCTGCACGTTACATCCCAGGGCTCAGAACCTCCGGCTCAGGAGGGCAGGGCAAAGCTGCGGAAAAGCAAGCTCAAGCTTCAGCCGTAAAGAACGCCGCTCCAAAGCCGCGGCACTTTGCGGCGGTGGCTCAAGCGGACCCTCCGCCCAGTGCCGCCGCGGAGCGCTATGGGGATCGTAGTTTACCCGGCCGGGGAGGCGGTAGGCTGTATCACGTGACGTGGCCTGCGGCCATTGTTCCCGACGCCATGACACCATAGGCAAAGGGCCAAGGCGTGGGTCGGGCGAGTTGCTCAGCCTCACATCGGGGGTGGTGCGGGCGGTACCCTCGCTGTGAATTGAGGGACAGACCCTGTGCAGGAGAAAAGACCCCCGCATGTCAGGGAAATTCATTCTTCCTGTTGTGAGGGGTGGGGAAGGGAGACTCATTTCTGGGAGGGAACCCCTTTTTCTTTGGGGAAGGTGCCCGTTTTTTCCAAATGGGGACATTGTTACTCTGGGGGTGACTCTCTGGTGGGAGACTCTCTGGGGGAGACTCTCTGGTGGGCTCTCTGGCAGGGAAGGGCTTGGCTTTGTGATTTCCCCTGAGACAGGGCTTGAAAAATCCGCGGGAGGAGGAAGTGCTGGGCCAGGGCTGCTAACCTCTGCAGAATTTCAGCTGTCATATAAAAAGGGTTTCGAGCTCTCCCTAGCAGCAAAGAAAACCTTCCAAATATGAACTGAGTGTAACCCAATTATTAGTAACTTGGATTGCAGTCGTGCCTAGTGGGCCCAGTCAAGGATCAGGTCCCCATTGTGCTCTGCTTCAGAGACCATACAAACCTAGCTTCATGACAAGACACAATGAAACAGACGCAGTGTAGCCCACTCTCAATTTCACCACACCTCTCACCATATTTGGTGGTTTTCTTAAAGTCCCAGCTCCTGTAATCATGTGACTGTGAGACGAGCGGCTCTCGTTTTAAAACGCCCTCATGGTTGTGGATGAAAAGTTTGAAAAAGTGATCTGACTGTATCACCCCCCAAAAAAGGTCAAACCCAAAAGGCAAATACAAAGAACCTCAAATGGTAGTTTTTTAAAATGAAAATCTCATGATTTTTAAGCCACTCGCGTGATTTTTGAACACTTGGGTTTGGCAGTATTGAGGCAAATGGAGGGAAGGAAGAGGTAACAGTTAAAAAGTACTTTTATGCATAATGAGCAGTAGTCTCAGCTCATTATCTGCCTACCCCTTGTAGATAGGGTTGCCAGGCATCAGGCATGCCCGGCTCCTAGGTGCAGGGTCTGGCACGAGGGCTCCATGCACTGACCCCGCCCCGAGTGCCAGCTCTGCAGCTCCCATTGGCCCAGAACCGTGGCCAATGGGAGCTGCAGGGGCAGTGGCTGCAGGCAGCATGCAGAGCCCCCTGACCCCTCCGCCTAGAAGCCAGACATGCCAGCCGCTTCCGGGAGCCGCGCAGGGCCAGGGCAGACAGGGAGCCTGTTTTAACCCTGCTGCGCCGCTGACTGGGAGCCACCTGAGATAAGTGCCGCCCAGCCGGAGCCCACAACCCATAACCCTCTCCTGCACCCCAACCCCCTGCCCCAGTTCGGGACCCCTTCCCACATCCCAACTCCCTCCCTGAGCGCATACCCCAACCCCCTGCCCCAGCCCTGATCCCCCTCCTGCACCCCAAACCCTTCATTCACAGCCAGGAGCCCCCTCCTGCACCCCAAACCCATCATCCATGGGCCCACCCCAGAGCCCACACCCCCAGCCGGAGCCCTCACCCCCTCCCGCATCCCAATCCTCTGCCCCAGCATGATGAAAGTGAGTGAGGAGAGCAAGCAACGAAGGGGGGGGGGGTGGAGTGAGTAAGGGGGGGCTTGGAGAAGGCGCTGGGCAGGGCGGGGCCTCAGGGAAGGGGCAGGGCCGGGGGCAGGGCAAGGGTATTCGGTTTTGTGCAGTTAGAAAGTTGGCAACCCTACTTGCTGACATAGGCCCCGACTCCAGCCCTGTAGCACCCACGGGGAAGAATTAGTGGGTGCTCTGCACCCATTGGCAGCCAAGCTCCCCTATCCCCACGCCCCACCTCCTCCTCCGCCTCCTCCCCTGCGCGCGCCGCATCCCCGCTCCTCTGCTTACCTCCCAGCGCTTCCCGCCTTGCAGCCGCCAAACAGCTGTTTGGCAGCGCGTTTGGAGGGAGGGGGAGGAGTGGGAACATGGCGCGCTCAGGGGAGGAGGTGGGGAAGAGGCGGGGCCAGGGCGAGGATTTGGGGAAGGAGTCAGAATAGGGGCAGGGAGGGGGGTGGATTTGGGGTAGGGACTTTGGGGAAGGGGTTTGAATGGGGGTGGGGCAGGGGCAGGAGGGGGTGGAGCAAGGCTGGAGTCAGGGCGGGGCTGGGGAGCAGAGGAGAGTCAAGCACCCACCAGCGGAAGAAGTCGGCACCTATGCTTGCAGACTGTCTTAAAGAGACTACAAACGGTCTTAGTGCCCCTGCTGCTGCTCAGAGCCTTTCCAAGCTGCGGCAGAGTTAAAACTGATCTGTTTTATCACTGCAAAGGGGGGAGGGAATTTTAGTCTTCAGAAGTTTTCTCTAGTTATTGGGTGAGGGAGGGGGAGTAATATTTCTCCTGTAACTAAGAAAGTATATTTTTAACAAAGGTGAGGAAAGAGCAAATTTCAGGAGTTCTCTTTCAATACCACCCACTAGCATCCAGCCGTATTTATCAGTTCAAGGCCTGCAGAAACCCATTTATTTAGAAGCAAAAAGACACATTCAGTTTCAGGCAATTTGGAAAGGTCGCCCTCTGCTGGCACGTGATTTCTAGGTCAGTGTTGAAATGAGACAGTAAAAGAACATCATCAGATTGAAATCTAGTCCATTTTAAAAACTGAGTTTAAAGTAGTTTCAGGCACTATACCAGCCTTAGACAGCCCCTGCCGTTTTATTGTGTGCAGTGTTGTTCTAGCCGTGTCAGTCTTAGGATGTTAGAGACAAGGTGGGTGAGGTAATAACTTTTACTGGACCAAGTTGGTCCAATAAAAGATATTACCTCGCCCACCTTGTCTCCCTCCTAATTTTTGTGATTTTAAAATTTCTTCAAAATATTCCCATTTTTAAATGTTTTCTTCCCCGCTCCCATATTACAATATAAAAAAAAAAAAAACCACACAAATAACAGGGGGAACTGATTATAGTGATACAGTGACGCTGACTATGTACAGAGTGCTGACCAATGCAAAACAGTAATCTTAGGCGTTACTTGCAATTATTATTATTTATTTATATTATTTTGGCGCTTAGGAGCACCAGTCATGGTCCAGAAGCCCAGTGTGCTAGGTGCTGTACGAACACAGAACAGAAAGACAGTCCCTGCCCCCAACGAGTTTATAATCTAAGGCTATGTCTGCACTACCACCTATGTCGGCAAAATTTATGTCGTTCAGGGTGTGAATATTCCACCCCCGGAGTGACATAAGTTACACCAGCATAAGCGCTAGCATGCACAGTGCTATGTCAGCAGGAGAGCTTCTCCCACTGGCACAGCTTCTGCCGCTCACAGGGGTATCAGAGGAACAGCCGTGTTAGTCTGTATTCGCAAAAAGAAAAGGAGTACTTGTGGCACCTTAGAGACTAACCAATTTATTTGAGCATGAGCTTTCGTGAGCTACAGCTCACTTCATCAGATGTATACCGTGGAAACTGCAGCAGACTTTATATACACACAGAGAATATGAAACAATACCTCCTCCCACCCCACTGTCCTGCTGGTAATAGCTTATCTAAAGTGATCAACAGGTGGGCCATTTCCAGCACAAATCCAGGTTTTCTCACCCTCCACCCCCCCACACAAATTCACTCTCCTGCTGGTGCTAGCCCATCCAAAGTGACAACTCTTTACATAATCAAGTCGGGCTATTTCCTGCATAGATCCAGGTTTTCTCACATCCCCCCCACCCCCATACACACACAAACTCACTCTCCTGCTGGTAATAGCTCATCTAAACTGACCACTCTCCAAGTTTAAATCCAAGTTAAACCAGAACATCTGGGGGGGGGGGGGGTAGGAAAAAACAAGAGGAAACAGGCTACCTTGCATAATGACTTAGCCACTCCCAGTCTCTATTTAAGCCTAAATTAATAGTATCCAATTTGCAAATGAATTCCAATTCAGCAGTTTCTCGCTGGAGTCTGGATTTGAAGTTTTTTTGTTTTAAGATAGCGACCTTCATGTCTGTGATTGCGTGACCAGAGAGATTGAAGTGTTCTCCGACTGGTTTATGAATGTTATAATTCTTGACATCTGATTTGTGTCCATTTATTCTTTTACGTAGAGACTGTCCAGTTTGACCAATGTACATGGCAGAGGGGCATTGCTGGCACATGATGGCATATATCACATTGGTGGATGTGCAGGTGAACGAGCCTCTGATAGTGTGGCTGATGTTATTAGGCCCTGTGATGGTGTCCCCTGAATAGATATGTGGGCACAATTGGCAACGGGCTTTGTTGCAAGGATAAGTTCCTGGGTTAGTGGTTCTGTTGTGTGGTATGTGGTTGTTGGTGAGTATTTGCTTCAGGTTGCGGGGCTGTCTGTAGGCAAGGACTGGCCTGTCTCCCAAGACTTGTGAGAGTGTTGGGTCATCCTTTAGGATAGGTTGTAGATCCTTAATAATGCGTTGGAGGGGTTTTAGTTGGGGGCTGAAGGTGACCGCTAGTGGCGTTCTGTTATTTTCTTTGTTAGGCCTGTCCTGTAGTAGGTAACTTCTGGGAACTCTTCTGGCTCTATCAATCTGTTTCTTTACTTCTGCAGGTGGGTATTGTAGTTGTAAGAAAGCTTGACAGAGATCTTGTAGGTGTTTGTCTCTGTCTGAGGGGTTGGAGCAAATGCGGTTGTATCGCAGAGCTTGGCTGTAGACGATGGATCGTGTGGTGTGGTCAGGGTGAAAGCTGGAGGCATGCAGGTAGGAATAGCGGTCAGTAGGTTTCCGGTATAGGGTGGTGTTTATGTGGCCATTGTTTATTAGCACTGTAGTGTCCAGGAAGTGGATCTCTTGTGTGGACTGGACCAGGCTGAGGTTGGTGGTGGGATGGAAATTGTTGAAATCATGGTGGAATTCCTCA